GGGGGGGGGGGGGGGGGGGGGGGGGGGGGGGGGCACAAAACATCAAGCAGTGGCTCTCCTCTCATGCACAGATCTGTTCTTCTAGTGGAAGCCGGACTGAGGAGGTGCTCCTTCAGCCCTGGATGAAGGAGGCGGTCACTAATTGGCAGGAGTGAGGAACCCCCCCCCCTCCCCAAAAGGGCAGCTTCTCTCCAGCCGTGCTGCCGAGCTAGAGGAGCACTATTCAGCCACCAGCCTGAGCGAGGGATCGACAGTGGGAGGGAGCAGTGGTCCGGGGAGATGGACACCAGTGTATGTGCTCTGGAGCTCCTGGGGGCCTTCTTCTCTGTGGTGGCCTGGGTCTGCTCGCTGGCCACCACCATTACCCCTCGCTGGATGACGCTGTCTACAGACCTGCTGCCTACGGAGGTCTATGAGCTGGGGCTGTGGGAGACCTGCGTGGTGCAGGAGCCGGGTAGCATGGAGTGCCGTCCGTATGACAGCCTGCTGGGACTTCCCCCGGACATCAAGCTGGCCCGCATCCTGATGTGCGTTGCCGTGGCGACCGGGCTCCTCGGGGTGCTGATGTCCATCCCCGGGCTGCGTCTGGTCAACAGTTGCCAGGGCGAGGAGGAGCACAGGGCCAAGCGGGCCTTCAAGCTGCTGGGCGGCGCCTTCTGTGCCCTGGCCGGCGTGGCGGTCCTCATCCCCGTCTCCTACGTGGCCCATCTGACGGTGCTGCGCTTCTTCGACGAGTCGGTGCCAGAAGTGGTGCCGCGCTGGGAGTTTGGCGACGCCCTCTTCTGCGGCTGGGCGGCCGGCTTCCTCCACATGGTGGCCGCGGTTCTGCTGGTCGCCTCCTGCCTGTACGCGCCGGGGAGGTCCCGCACGGTGGCGGCCCGGTGGACACGAGCATCCTGCGCCATAGACCGCACTGGGAAAAGGTCAGAGTACGTGTGAGCGCCCACCCCCCAGCGCCAACGCCCCGCTGAGCCCTAAATCACACAGCACCCACTCTTCCTCACCGAAGTGTAAAGCTACCATTTTCCTCATGATCTGCAACATGTTTATTTAACTACAATCGTCTGGTGTCGTACACGGGGTGAGTCATGAGTAAGCAGCCCCCTGGGCCGGCGTGAGATGCATCCCAAGATGCACTTGTATTTTTTAAAAACACTTCTTTCTCAAGCAGTGATGAAGGATTTGCTGTTGCTCTCTCTAGAATTTTTCCCCTTTTATTTCAATCCCCAATTTTTCTGACTTTCACAATGAATGACTTTCTATTTGACAATTGATCTGATTTACTTAAATCCATCGGAAGAACAGAAGAAAATGTTTCAGAAACTAGTGGCGTCTTCTAGGGGGCCTGTGAGACTGATGGAGAGGGTGAATCAGCACTGACCAAAGCACCAGAGAGGGTGGGGGCTGAAAATAAGGGAAAATGCAGATGATTTAAAATAAATTATATTAATTCTATCTTATTAAAATTTTGCAAATGTTAAATATATGTATGTGTGTGTATATACATGAACACACATAGTGCAATATCAGAGTGATTATATTTTAGCAAGAGACGTGATCTTACCTAATCAGCAAATATCTATAGTTAGATTAACACTTATGGAAAATGTTCTCCATTTTTCTTGTAGTGGTCTGTACTTGTGGAATAAAATCCCACATATTCAAATGGAAAGAATGTAAAATTATTGTGATTTTATGTATAAAAGGGCAAATAGGCCTATATAAAGGGTTTTATGGAAAATGGTTATACGTTTGTCCTCTATGTTTTATTTCTCGTTATAACTCGCATATGGTATAATATTTACAATGCAAGGGCAATGGATGCCGAAACGCAAAGATGGTAATCAGAATATAAAAGCGTTTGGTGATTCAGCGATCGCTTTAGCCATGGATATGCCACATTTTTTCCAGCGGGACCAAAGAGAAAACTTAACGGAACCGGGTGCCCGACAGATCGCGGTGGTTTTTTTAGAATTGATATAGATCTATTTTAAAAGTAGAATTGAGGTAAGGACGTACGACGTCGCCGCTTGAGGAAGCCTTGGGCGATGCGCGCACCCGCCACGCTCGGCCCCCCGACGGCGACCCGCGCCTCATCCGTCAGGGCGATTTCTGACACGTCTGAAGCAGCTGCCAAGCGCTCAGCTCCGGGCACTTAGAAACACAGTCCTTGCGTGGCAGGTGGGTGCACTTGATGTTAATTCCCCCCGACTGCCTCACTGTGTCCTGAGTTAAGCTTTCTTTAATTAACGACTTTAATGAATGACAAGTTCATTGAAGGAATGTTAAAGAGGTTCTCTAAAATTTACTGGGGCGTAATTATTATACAATACAGTTTTTTTCAGGAACTTTCTAAAGTTTCCCCGTGGTCCGTTGGTCAGCTTTATCTCGTGTCCCACTCCGCTGGGTGCGGTTCGTTCTCGATCCGCTGGTCCCGCCTGAACGGTGCCTCTGTTGTCCCTTTACAATGGATTTGTTATTTCATTATATGCTAATCTCTCCAATCACATACAGTGAGCTGTCCTGCATCAGAGAAGCAGGTGGATGTATTACTAAACTTAAAAATCTGTTTAGAAATTCCAGGACGGCACAACAACATTGCAGAGTTAATAGTTAATTCATTTCTGTTGCGCTGTATCATAGCCTGTGTATTTCAATCCTGTTCTACTCTCTAACGCGTTTCCTCTGCGGGACGCCCGAAGCAAAAATGCTATCTGTAAATATTCATTAATCACCTCGAAGTGGAACTAACTAAAAAAACCGACTTTTAATATTTACCCGCAACTCTATTTCAAAATAACCTAATGGGGGGGGGGGGGTTCAAATGCTTCAAATGTGCTGAAATATCAACAGAGCCTTAAAGACTCTTATTGTCCATGAGTCGCTATCAACAAGTTCGAGTCAAGTCTGAGTCAAGAAATAAAGAGTCGAGTCAGAAGTCAATTTAAGAGCGACTCGAGCCCGAGTCGGAAAGTCGGGTTTCCGTCTGTGATACACAGTGCGGTCAATAGCTGCGAAAAACATCATAATATTACTACTGCAGGCAGTGAATACCGGCAGTAACATTTCATATAAGCGCAATAACAGCAACATAAGAATCACGCCATAAAAAAACAGTTTTCTTAATTAACGATTTGCAATACCGCGCCTACTCAGCGATGAGGATCCTACATTAATGTAGTACTTTGAGTGCAGCGCCACCACGCATGGATGGCCACAGCAGGAATAGCCACAGAATTGGGTTATTGGAGGCAGATGTTCGGGAAATGAATAGTGTGTGTGTGTGTATATATATATATATGTGTGTATATAATTTCAGGAATCTTAATGTACCGAATATAAAATATCACCTATAATACAAAAGTTCTTAGAGCGCCCCCTAAAGGTCTTAGGGGAGGCTGCTAAGGGAAGTCGTGTTCTTTTTAGGGGGGCGGGCGGGTTCCCCTTAGCTTCCCTGTAATTCGAACCGTTCCTATCGGTAAAATGTCAGTGCCAGACACCGCAGAAGGTATGAAGTTTGGGCAGAGTCTAGGCAACTCTGAACATTTAAATACATTAAAATTTTAATTGGGACACATTTTTCGCAAGAGCTAGCAAATGACTATATATGGTCTGATTTGCCTGATTATAGGTTTTTCATTTGATCGTTGATTCGATGCAACGCGGGCAAGTGGGCCTAATAGACAATCCAAAATAAGTTATATATAACAATAGAAATAGCAGTCTATAGAAAATGCCTTTAACGGCGGGGAAGTTGGAACAGGTGGAGTGTATATATATGTAATCTCCACAAACAAAGCAAAAGGCTCATCCAAGACAAAAACAGTCAAAATGTAACGAATTTACTTGTTCCGTAGCACAGCAAGCGCACTCTTCATGCAATGAGATTTTTATATTTATCTGACTGTTGAGTCATTAACTTGACATTAAATAAGGTTATTCTGACGGTCAACTAGCGCTAAAATCATTTGTTAATAATTAAACTGATTCCAAGTATTACGAAGTATGACGTACGTGCTGTCATGCATTAAACATTATTATATATCATTATAATCGATCGGGATGTTATATAGTTATAATCAACAAAAAGCGGATTTATTGTCCTCGCTAGCCTGGGAGTTAGCCAAATGAAATAATAAAACTGGTGGTTACTTAAGTCCTGCGCGGCGGCCCAAAACACTGGGTGACTAAAAATAAATCCTCGCTGCGTAGAACAGCGCTGATTGAAAGGTGTGTCCTCAGATGTAATTTCGACTAGATTAATTATATCCGCCAATGGTGAAAGAAACCAAACGTAATTCTACTAATACTGCAGTATTGTGTTAATACATGTCTTTTTGACAAAGAGTTAGTTTGTGCAACATGCGCGGTGGGCTGGAGTAATAGTTCATGACTTTTTTCCGTCTCAAGCGGATTTTTAACCATTGGCCAACCAAGCTACTGATGAATACTACAGAAAAATGATGCTGGTGGTGAATTTTTCCTATGGCGCCATAACGGCTTCGACCAGACCCGAAGACTGCATTTCAAATTGCTTAACAGTAGATATAGTCTGATTGTCGGCTTTGAACCAGGAATTCATCAAGGACACTCCGCTCCGCTCCAGGTTTTCTGCAGGAGCTGATCTGCGATGCACCGAGCGGGACGAAGCGCATACCAGTGGCTCCTGCGTTTCTCTGTGATGCGCTGGGGACACGGTTTAAACCTCCATTTGACTTAGATAAAGTCTACTGACTTAACACTGACGGCTTTTTTCGCATCGTAGGACTGCTGCCTGCAGAATAAGTCTGAAGCCAGCTACGTTAGAAGTCTTTCTATGACACCGTGTAACGTGTAATCTGAATCACACTAAGCATATTGAAAAATAGCCCTGCTTCAGATTGAAGATAGCTGTAATTCCCCTCTCAGGGATGTCTGGGAAGAATTCAGTGGACAGGAGGTGGGAAACATGAGGAAAACTACTTATTCGCCCCAGTTGTTGAGCCTGTTTCTCCCTTAAGTGGGACAGCAGTTATCACAAACCACTAATCAGCACTGATAGCAGGATGCTGAACTGATTCCCTTCTTATCTTATCTGCATTAGTAAGGTACAAGTGCGAGACTTCAGCAGCTCCGGCAGAGCCCTCGCAGAGTCCTAGCAGAGTCCCAGCAGAGCCCTCGCAGAGTCCTAGCAGAGCCGTGATGGAAAGTCCAAGGTTTGAACAGATCAATGTGATTCGCTTTGCCAGCGTGGAGGATGACAGCGGCGCTTAAGCATCAAGACAGGGAAAGACCAAGTTTTCCTTCAAGATTGGGTGGAATTTCGAAAGTTTGTCTATCAGCCTGTCCTGCCACATTACTGTAACTGGTTTAGGTTTAAGTCTGTGAGTAACCATGCTGGGGAACCTGCGAATAGTGAAAAGGAGACAGATCTTCATCCCACTGGGGGGGCACACAGAGGCAGGTCGACTGAAGAAGACGCCTTTTGTTCCCGGTCCCTGTCCGCGGGACAGTGCTGCCCCCAGCCAGAGCAGTTGGGCCCAACTATATTTCCTGTGCAACAATCACTACAGTGACAATGTCGTCCTCCCCCCCCCCCAAAGGTCAGGCCTGGTCCTCACGTGCCTGCCACTGCCAGCCACCACACTCACATGGTCACATGACTCACGCCTCAGTCTGGGGGTACTGGATCGGCTGGGGGGGGCGCTCTTATCCTCCCCCTCTATCCAGAAGCTGGGACGGGGGCTTGGTCGAAAGCTGCGGCACTCAAAGGGGTCCGTGCAACAATTCAGCAGAAACACAAGGACCCGGTCACAGGTGATGTTCAGCTACCAATCAGGCCAGCTGACAGCTCCGCCTCCCCAGCTACCGCAAAACACGGGCTACAATTAGTTAAAAGAAACGTTCCACACGACACCGCTGGGCTGCTTTTTGTATTGGGTAAGAAAATCTAATTTAATTAATTATAAGTAATTTCCCCCTATTATGTCATCAGGAGGATTATGGGAGTTTTGTACGAACAAAATAATAACATTCCTGCGAAGTTTCCCTTCAAAGTCAACATGCAACCTTCCCAAGACTGTGGCAATCCGAGGTACAAATTGGAAACACGTTAAAGAATGCGTATCGGGGGCAAGCGACACACAGAGAGGTTCCAGTGAAGTTCATTAGTGCCTTGGCGGGAGGTTGTGGAGCGCAGTGCCAGGATGTGGGATAACAGAGGTCCTACAGAGTCAGTCCCAACAGAGGAAAATCCCTTTTCCTCTCTGTCTAGTGACTGAAACTCAACATTTATTAGCTTGAGAATGTGAACTCCTGTTCTGATTTGATGCACAAAATTCAGGATTCGCACACTGAATCAGGGCAGGATCCCCCTCGGATTCTGGACAGACGCTTTTGGATCCCCGGTTCCCATAGGGACAGATGCCTCGTTAAAAATGGAGATTGAGGTTCCAGGGATGCTCACCTCCATCTGCTGGAGCACCTGAACATGCTAAACATGCACCCAGGACTGCAGTGCTGCGCTGAATGATGCGCTTTGATACACTTTCCCATAATAGGCCTTTATGGCCTGAGCTTAGCAGGTCCACCATTAAAATATTTAATGAGAATGTTAAAGTCACCTTAAAGTCACGATGGGAAAGGCTCACTACTGCTAGCTCAGTTTGACCATCATCTTAATTGTCCAGAAATATTAATATTCAATTCAACGTCATCTTTTTTTTTTATTAACAGAAAAATCCCACACAAAAACTAGTTCACATTTTTTCATCCAGTGGCCCTAACCTGCGGATAGATTCCTTGCTGCCCCCCGCCTGTCACAAAAATGCTGGCACGAAGCGTGGAAGCAGGCACAGGAGTTGGGGGGTCGGGTGAACACGGGGTTTATTATGGGTAAAACACACTCTGGAGTACGGAAAAGGCGACGTTAATGACTGGATTCGGGAAACATTCACAGAAACTCACTTAAATACACGGAGTCAATTAAACACAACTAGAAACAGTTGATAACAAGAGGATTCCACATGAGGTAAATGAAGGGGTGTGGCACACAGGAGGATCAGAACGATCGGGCCATGACACTGCCCCTAACGCCGCTGCCCACAGTGTCCTTCCAGCGAGATTCACCTGTTATAGTTACATCTTATTTAATGTCACATTACATGCTTTTGTCCAAAGCAACTTAAAAGACAGAAAAGCTTGAGTCAGACAGTGTCTCCGGAGCAGTTTGGGGTTCAGAGCCTTGTTTCCACGAGACAGTGACTCTGCTGCCATGAGACTTGAACTCATAACCTTATGGATGTGGGTGCAGATCCCTAGCCTGCTGCTGGACACACCCCCCCATCCGTACTCAGCACATCTTAGGTTAATCTTTACATTACACTGTTTTACCTTTTTCATTATTTTCTGCCATTACTAGGTGCAGGGGTGCAACTGATTCTCTTCTAAACTTGATAAAAGTGTTTAATCATGATTCATAATTAAAATATTCACAATAATAAATTCCAGTTCTCTGTTTTTACTCTGTAATTGATCTCAAAGTGCAAATGCATTCAATGTAGCTTCAGAACAACACACAGCAAAATGAAAAAATGATGCTACCATCACAGTCCCAAGAGCCCCTTATGGTACAATCATTCCTCCCAGACTGTCTCATGTAAAATTCATTCAGGCGTCAGGAAAAACAGCCGCGGTCCACGCAGCTCCGGGGTAAATTCATGCTTAAACGCAACTTTGCTGACGTTGCTTACGATGTCCACAACTAAACCATTATGCAAATTGAAGTGAATTAGCTCATGTGAACAAATTTGGAAATGGTATCTGTCACGTGGATGGGAGGTGACATTCAGGTGTCCTCGAATGCTGGGTTGTCCTGGGCATGACCAGGGCTCTTCACGTCGCCGTTGCCCTGCGATGCGTCTGTCTGTGAGCCTCTGCCGGGGTTTGTAGTGGCCACTTGTGTGTCGTTGCCATGGCTACGCATGGCTGCCCATTCATGGTTGCTACGGCTGCTCTGGTTGGCAGCAGACTCAGCCCTGAAATGCTGTCTATGAGGGACAGCTTTCGGGAGTCTATACAAGATGAACGTCAATGCGCTGAGGACCGTCAGGATGGAGGCCAGCATCCCCAAGCTCAGTCCTGCCCCCACGTCCTGCCTGACGGGTGAGGGGGGCATGTGGAAATCGGGGGGGAAGTCTATTGTGTAATTGGCGGCAACTGACCTCATATTCCAGGCTAGAGGCAGCATGGTGCAGACTGCGGAGAGTAAGGAGAGGACGCCGGCCACAGAGAAAGCCGCCCTGAGCGGCTTCATCCTTTCCATCCCAAAGTAGACGCTCCTCAGTCCGTAGACTGCACAGGCATTCCCGCCACCGCCCACCATCAACGCCACCGGCACCAGAACCTGGGCCACCGACACTTCCGGTGGCGTTGATGGGTCCCGGAACGGGATGGAGCGGCAGTACAGGACCTGCAGCTCAGAGGAGACCAGCGCGCGACTGGGGAAGCAGACCCTCCAGATGCCCACCCAGGCCACTCCGGACGTGATGTTGGTGACGTCCAGCACGTGCCACACCCTCCACTGCACCAGGCCCATGGACACCGCTGTTAGGATCCAGCTCACAAACCCTAACAGGAGGCCAGCAAACTGCAAGTGGGCTGTGTGTACTAGGTAGGCCATTGCGTCAGGACTGCGCCATCAAACACACAGACCGCTCTTCTGCTCTGCCAAGAGGAACATCTTCAGGGGAACTCGGTCCTCGTCTTCCCTCTCACTCTCTCAACTGTCATTTAAAGCTTTATGTCATGGCGCCTCCGTTAACGTACATCGTCACTCATCCATTCAGTCCCCCGCAGGCTTCACAGAAGAGTAAACCAGCGTAGCGCCAACGTCACGGCCGGAGACGGTAAAACGGCTGCAAAGAGAGCAACAAGAAACAAGCCGCATTAACGCGTGACGGGCTGCGAGTTCACGGAAGATGCAAGCTTTGAACTCAAGAGAACAGAGAACAGAAAGTTCAAGGCAGGGGTATCTAAGTGCTGCAGAAGCCTGGCACTGACCAGGCTCAGGGAAATAATTATTCTGTAATTTTGCTCACAGGTGACCCGTGTTGCCAGGTGTGGCACATTCAGAGCAGGAAAAATGATACAAAGGTCGAGGTGTGTCAGACCCTGCGGAACAGAAAAGAAACTCCAGATCATTGGAGAGAAACACAGATGAATTACAGGGTCCTATAAGCCTAATGATGATTATCTGAAAAGATTCATTTAAATTCATTCAATAAGCTGGATATTTCACTGGGAGAATTCAGGTTAAGTGCCTCTGCTGGGATTTAAACCATCAGGGTCGGTGTAAACGTCCGAGGGCAACGCCTCAGTGTGTTTATATTGGTTACAAAAGTGAAAGGTAGCTTGCACAAAAATCTTATTACAAAGACCTGAACAGGAAGATATATTAAAGATATCAGGAAGTGAAGTACATATAATTTAGGGAAGGTACAAACTCACTAAGACTAAGAGAAAGACTAAGACTAAGAGCATTCAGAGAGACAACAGACTAGTAGATGAATTCCTGGAACAGATGGGTCTTAGATATTTCTCCAGAAGATCCAAATGAATTCTTCAGAACAATGGGTGTATTAATATGAATTATTTCTTTGCTAGTGATAGTCACACACAGCTCACTTTGACCAGCTAAACCAGACTGAAGTTGCATGGTAACCTTAATTTCCTGACAGAAATGCACTGTGAGCTGAGCCAGTATAGAAATCAGGCAGAATCTCAAAAGTGAGCACTTACCTCACAGGACAGCGGCCTTCCACAGAACTGCAAAGCTGCACACTGGGAGCCGGCGTGTCACCCAGCATGACGATGAGCACCTCCTACGTCAGTCCTAAACACAAACACGAAGGAAACGCAGCGAGGGCCAGGCGACACGTGCTGGGCTGCTTATCGGAAACGCAAATACCTTGATTGGCATGGTTAATGATTCACTAATGATTCACTAGGAATTTACACACATGCAATCGGGGGGGTGGCACAGCCCATATGTAAATACCCAGCTCTTCTTTATTGATTTCATAATGTCTGGCAAACTTGCTGATTCATAATAGTAATTTCTCAAGTCACAACTTAGTCAATCCCTCCCAAAATCCACAGGGGAACGTCAAGAACATGCACCCCTCGAATCCATCATCCCTCACCTTCTTGTTCTCCATTCAGCATGGAGTACTACCTTACCAGATGCCTTCTAGGGTCTGGGATGGCCAATGGCAGGTGTGTAACAGCACCACCTAGTGGCTTGGAGATATTACTTGTATGCCACCATGTTATGAAGGAGGGCCCTCATGCTTAGCCTTGGGGTTAATGTGTGTCTGAGCCAAGCGTCGATTATCCTATGCTGTGTGTCAGCAGCTTGATGGACAGGGCTAAACAGAACCATAATCTCATCAGAACATGCATGTCAGACTATGTCAGTCTCATGGGCGTTCAGATAGGTGCCTCAGCATGGACAGCCACCTGGGGACTGGGGTTAGAGGTCATGGCCATGCGGATTGTATTGTGATCAGAGAGACAAAGAGGTACACTGAAGTAATGCATTTACACATGAGAAACACACAGGAGCACACACGTGTTTAGAAGCATGAAGGACAGTGAGGCAGTGTGGTCAGGTGACAGGCCGCTGCCTCACCAGGGGACTTCTGGGAGCAGAGTGATTAAAGCGGCGGTAGGGTGGTTTGTGCGGGCCCCGCTCCGGTGTGAGGGGACACACAGAGGGCCAGCATGACCAGTAACAGAAGCTCCTGAGCCTGGGGGGGCTGATGGTGGGGGTGGGGCAGGGCACACAGGTATGTGCTGGCTCATGTTTCAGTGACCTGCTGGGCGAAGCCACACAGGGGAGGGGGGGGGCTTGCTCCTGTGGGTCTCCCTGCAGCCGCGCTCCGCAAACCAGCAGTGTGGATTGTGTGTAAATGCGTTTCAAACTCTTGGCATAAATAGTGTTTTATTAATAAATTATTCAAAATGAACAGAGCTACTTTTAATGGGATGAAACACAAAGTCAGAAGGATGCTTTAGGCGACATGCTGTCATGTACAGTATCTGCAAAAAACATCTTTGAAATGTAAGTACCTGCCCCAGATATCCCAGACGGCCAATCAAACCGTTTGCCTAATTTAGTGGCCCCCCCAAAAAGACAGTCCACCACCTATATTCCTGAACCAGCTAGCTGAGAGCTTTATAAGGAGTAAAGTCAGGTGTGCGGTTTGGGAACCACTGTCCTAATAAACAAAACCCAGCAGGGCTGTGAGATCCTAGCCCCGAAAGCAAAAAACACCAGCTCATGTGGGCCAGATGAATAAGATGGAATCATTTCAGGTGTACTGACTGGACCAAGCCCAAGGAACACTCTGACACGTTTAAATGCATAAGACTAGTAACATTGCTAAACATGGTTATAACTTTTGAAAACTGCCCTATTCAAGTTCACTGGGTTTATTCAAAAGCCTACAATAAATTACTAAAACTTAGATTGTTCTTCCCTCAGAGTGTGGACCGTGTTGACCAATGGCTATTGAAATAGTAAATAATGCACCACTCCAGACTAGAAGTCACTGTGAGGTCAATACCTACAGTGAAAGTTTGGGGTCTCAAACACCCCTGAATAAAATATATTTTTTAAAAAGAATCCCAGAGTGTGGTACACGGTTCCCTGTCCGACACTTCGTTCTTTGTAATCGCTTCTGCAAGCCTTCACACAGTCCCTCTGCATGATAAAGCTGAGAGGTGAAGCTTTCTTGGGGAATTGGAAAGCAATTGCATGAAGCAAAAAAGTTGCTTCCTTCTCTCTTTTCATGCTCATCTTTTCTGCTGCCACCTGGTGCGTTGGAGGTCTCACTGCAGTGGCAAATTCTACTCAGTCCTCAGAAGGGCCTCCTCTGCTCCAGGGGAAGGCTGTCCGTCAGACACTTGAGTTGCTCCTCCCCCAGCTTGATCTTGTCCTCCAGCTTGCGCTGCTCGATAATGAGCGCCGACTTCATCTTGACGAAGTGCTCGTAGTCGGCCAGGTGCTCCTCGCTCAGACAGTTGGCCAGGATGTTGTAGACGACGTGCTCCCGCCGGTCCAGGTTCTCCTTCAGCTCTTTGGCATCGTCGTGCTGTCGGATGAGCAGCTTCCTCTTCTCCTCTAGGGTGCGCTGGGGGGACAGCGGAGAGGGTTAGGGGAGGAAATGACGACAGATCAGCAGTGGAAATCGGCCGGAGAAACCAGGTAAGAAACATGATGTGCAATGTGATGTGAGTTTTTACAGTTGTTTTAGGCCTATTAATCAAACTAAGTAAAATGCAGACAAATAAATCACAACGTGACCCGCAGCTGTGATAAGACTATTACTGTTACTGTAAGTGCAATGTTCGCCCAAGCGATAAAATAAATTAATTAGCGTAGCAAATATTTAGATAATATGACGCAGACATTCTACAGTTGACAAATCACTCCCTATAAAGTGATTTCCTTGGCCCGCTTGCATAAGGACCTAATATTGCACAAGAGCTGCAGGTGTGTCCCCTCATATTAAAGGTCCCCCCCCCCGGTTACCTTCTCCTCGGCCGGTGCCCCCTCCTCCAGGCCGTTGAGGGCATTCTCCACCCTGGCCAGCCGGCCGGACAGTGACAGCAGCAGGCTCACCACCTTGTCCAGATCTCCCACAAACATGCGGAACTTGTCCAGCTCATTGGGCTTGCAGACGTGCTGCACCGTCAGCTCCACCTCCTCACCCAGCGCGTTGTTGGCCTGCACATCCTCTTGCAGACTCTCCCTCGCCTCCCGCAGCACTGCCAGCTTCCTGCTCAGGCTGTCGATCAGTTCGTGCTGCCGGGAAACAGGGACCGGGGATAGGCTCGGTCAGAACGGCACGGGTGGACGGCCCGCGGAGCGGAGGAGAGGCCCGTACAGGTACCTTCTTGTTGGCCAGGTCCACGTCCAGCTCGTCCTCGGAGTCCTGCTCCTCAATCTCCTCCTGCATGTCTTTCATCTTGATCAACAGCTCTGCCTTGGGGGCTGATGTGCTGTAGTAGGAGGAGCTTGTTACCATGGGAACGGCGGCCACCAAGCTGTCCTCATCTTGCCTGAGACAGTAGGACAAGCAAAGGAAACCAGTAACCACACACTTATAATACATCCGTAGTATCCAAGATAAGGTCATTACAAATAACTGATCAACAGTGAGTAGTAAATCGATTAACTGGTAAAGAAAGCAGCACGTGGGCTGAACTCCCCCACAGTGCACAACCATGATACAGATCTGGGCTGTTTGGGATCCTCGCTTGGTTTTAAATCAGCTATCTTCTGTTTGATTACTCAACCCAATTACTTTAAAATCACACTGGAGCAGCTGAGCACGTGACCTCTGTGAGGATTCCACTTAAGGAGAGAGTGGCAGTTCTAGATCATTTCAGCTGGGGAGGGGTTAACTGGGGCCATTGGTTCTGCAGACACTAGACAGTCTGCATTAAGAAGCAAACCGCTTTGTGGTCACATTTTACAGTTCCTACAAACATGTAACTCACTCTGACTTCTTGTTTAGACTGTCTTGGTTCCACAAGCTTGATTATTTTTTTCTGTCGTTAACGTTGCTTTTCAGCACCTTAAGTCACTCCACCACCCGCACCCCCACATTAACCTGCTTACATTTGTGCTTTGCCTGTTCCCAGCACACAAAAATATAGCCCACATATTTAAATGTGAATAATAATAATAATACATTTACTTCAGACCTAAGTAATATACATATTTAGGGGGCCAAGGGGGGGTGGCATATATGTTGTCATGAGGGCACTGGCCCCCCTGCCCCCCCTAGAACTGGCCCTGTATAGAGAATTTCTCAGAAGGTTTGGAGCGGGCTGGTAAAGTGAGGCTGGGGGAAATAAGACACCCAGCACAAAAAAAAATCCAGCTTGTGGTTTATGGCCTCGCCAGCAGGGGGCAGCGGCACACCACGTTTTTCCACTGCAGGGGGAAAGTGGGCACAGAGCGCGTTGGTCACGAGCGGCCTCGTGTGTAACGGCCCGGAACAGAGCGCGTGCAGTGGGGGAGGGGGGGATCATTTATCCATTTTATTTTTCGGCAGAATTTCCTACTTGTAACAAAAAGGGCAGTAAAAATGTACTTTTGGATAATTTGAAGTCCAAACAAATGTAACGAGGTTTGACTGTTTAGCTGACGCTCATCTGCAGGGAACCTCATCATTTCAGTCACTTACAAGGCCGGTAAACTTCCCTCCTAACAGTATAACGGCCGGACCCTCCTGGGATCGGAGCCATCCGTGGGCACACCCTACCTATCAGTCTAAGACTGTTTCCAAACCCAGTCCTTTGGGACCCCCAGTCAGTCCACACTTTTGCTCCCTCCCAGCCAATGAAGAACATTGAATACATGATACAGACAAAAGTACAACGCAAAAGCATAGCATGGCTCTCCAGGGACTGGACGGAGAAACGCTGGTATATACCGACATCCACAGCCTTGTGACTACTGAGGGAGCAGGGGAGAAGCTCACCTCTCCTCCGTGCTCCTCCGGGGAGCCTGTTTGGGGGCCACTTTCCTGCGCTGCTGGGCCTCCTCCACCAGCTGCTCCCCCTGAGGGAATATGCCCTCCATCAGGTCCATGGTGGTCTTCATCTTGGTCTGGTTCAGGATATCAGCCAGGGATTTGTCCCGCCCCACAATGTCCCGGGTTAGCTCCTCCCGTTTCCTGTCCTCCTCCAGTGGGCCGGCAGGTGGGCCCCCATTATGAGAGCCTTCCTGAGTGGCCCCCGGGGGGCCCGCATCTGCAGGCTCCTCCCACTTAGGCTCCATCTGAGGCTGGTTGTCTTTCTGACGTGTGTAAGCGCAAAACGGCGAGTAGGATGGCTCAGAGGGGCTGCGGGGGCCCAGTGGAGGGCTGTCGGGGGCCCCAGGCCCCCCAGCAACTGGAGCAGCGTCGCTGGGCATTAGGAACCGCCGGCTCTCCTTCTCTGAGCTGCTCTCCGCATGGACAATCTTGATGGGCACCTTCTTCACCGTAGCTCCGCCCTCCACCGCATTCTCCATCCTGCAGCAGAGTGGGGACACAGGGGCATGTAAGGGCAGCCCGTGGGTTTTGCCCTAGGGTGATCCGAGGCACGCAGCCCCGAGGAACGCAGCCCCGAGGCACGCAGCCCCGAGGCACGCAACCCCGAGGCACGCAACCCCGAGGCACGCAACCCCGAGGCACGCAACCCCGAGGCACGCGACGCCAGCAGTCACGCCAGAGAAAGGCGGTCAAACAATCCGCAGGAGAACTAGTATCTTAGGAGTTGCTGAAATGGGTTACGGGATGATCAGAAGAGCCTCTTTCAGCCGAGATGCCAGCGAGAACCCGCACCGTCCTCAAACAGCGCTCCACGCGCCGCTCCCGGGCATATAGCGACCGCCTGAAGGGCGTGTCCGCGCCCCCCCCCCCCCGTACGCTTGTATGACACTAGGCGCTTACAGCTCTTTTCCCGGAGCCCTGGCAGAAGCAAACTTTACACTGGAGTTTTGGAATCCGCATGAGACCGCAGTGCAGATGAAACCAATTATTCACAAATCATGAGTTTAAATGTACCCCCACCCCACCCCCACCCCCACCCCCAGCTCATGTCTGCCGTGAAAAAATGCTGGATGGTCGCATTATACGGGAGGCCGCCTCACTGTACGGTGCCCAGCTGCAGCTCAATGGGCTTTTTGTGCGCGAATCGAGGAAGAGCGAAGGAGAGACGTGGCTAGCCGTTACATAGCCCAGCGTGCTGCCAAGGGTTACGAGCGGAACATTCCAGAACCAAGCACGGGTACCGCGAGCCGAAGGACAGCTTAAAAAAAGGGGATACCTGCTGGAAGCATCATCCTGCAGAGACACGGGCGGCCTGTCGGTCAGCCACTGGGGCACAAACTGCGGGGAGAGAGAGCGGTATCCCTCCATGGAGGGCTTGAGCAGGGCAGCTTCTTTGTGGGAGGAAGAGGATGAAGAGGAGGAGCTGATGGCAGCAGGGGGAGGAGGAGCTGGCTCAGGCTGGGAGGGTGATGCTCCGTGTCCTGCTCCTTGCTCGTCCTCGTGCCTTGTGCCCTGCTGAGTGTCTCTCCTGGGGGAGGAGCTTGGGGCGTGGTCAGGGCCTGGGGGCGGGGCTTCAGCAGAGTAAGGCCTGACAGAGCAGCTGTCCGGAGGGACAGGCGGAGACTCCTGCGTATCCCCTGCAGAGGACGCTGCCTCAGGACGGCAGTGCCTGTCCAGCTGGGGTGGGAGGGGCCTCTGTGGCAGGGGTCCTTTCTTCTTGAGGGCCGGTGGCAAAGGTGGTGGTTCGGTGTCCTGCAGGGGGTGCTGATGATGGGACGGGTCGCCCCCACGGTGTTCACCCTCCGGGGCAGAGAAGTGACGCTCCCTGTCGAACAGCCTGTAACACAGAGCGAGGAGTCACAGAGCGAGGAGTCACAGAGCGAGGAGTCACAGAGCGAGGAGTCACAGAGCGGCACTGCCCAGCCCCCTGTGCTCTACATTAAGACAAAGGAGAGCGCTTTGGATTTGTCTAGAGCAGGCGTGTCAAACTCCAGTCCTGGGGGGCCGGAGCCCTGCACAGTTTTGGGTTTCCCCTCATTTAACACACCTAATTCAACTCCTTGTGCTAATTACAACACAGCTCTTGAGCTGCATCATTTGTGGTAGAATAGGAAAGAACTAAGCTAAACAGGGCTCCCGCCCCCCAACGACTGGAGTTTGACACCCCTGGTCCAGAGGAATTCCTCAGAAAGCGTTCAAGGCAACGCTGAGCCCAAGCAGACAAAACAGCATTTCTCTGCTCCCACACGGCCGCCACGCCATGCAGTGAATGATGCGTCTCTGATCCGCCTGCTGCCCCAGCGTGCCCTCAAACTGCTGCTGCTACTTTTAACTCACTGGCAGCCAGAATCCTCTCACTGTCCTGCGCTGAGAGGGACAAAAAAGTCTGTGTCTGTGGTTTATAAGCAAGGTTGTGGCTCTCATAAATCCCTGGAAAACGCAACGCAAAGATGGAGCCCGACAGGAGGGAACGAGCAATGCAGCCGGCATCTGGGAGACAGGAGAACAAATCCAACCCGTGTTTTCCAAGAGAGCGAGAGAAAGAGGAAGACACGAGGGCTTACAGAGACACTGCTATTTATGCATTTATGTATTCATGCACAATATCTCACAATACTGCTAATATGAGACACTCCACACACACACTGATAAAATCTGTGATGAAGAGAGATCTGTGATGAGGAAAGTGGAAATAGAGAAAAAATGGACAGGCATGTGCAGGGAGAGAGGAATGAGCACAGGCATTAGGGGAAGGAATGGGCATAGGGAAAGGGGAGAGGGATGGGGCACAGGCAGAGGAGAGGAACGAGCACAGGCAATAGGGGAAGGAATGGGCATAGGGAAAGGGGAGAGGGATGGGGCACAGGCAGAGAAGAGAGGGATGGGGCACAGGCAGAGAAGAGAGGGACGGGCACAGGCAGAGGAGAGAGGGACGGGCACAGGCAGAGGAGAGAGGGACGGGCACAGGCAGAGGAGAGAGGAATGAGCACAGGCAATAGGGGAGAGACAGGCAGGTGAGGTGATGAAAGGCCTGGTTTTACATTCCCCTTTTTAAAAGTGCAAAGGTGCCGAGGTCATGGCTTTGATTTTGTGGACATTCAAAAGAGCCTGTAGTCCCGACCCCCTGCAGTTTACAAGAAGGGATAGGCTGCCTTCAGCCGGCACACATCGGGGATGAAAAACACCGGTGGATATTAATTAAGGCAGCAAACGGAATTATTAGCAGAATGGGGTATCATGCATGTCTAAAGTATTAAAGTGCAAATCTCGTGTAAAAGAGCTAATCTCAAATTCATCTCATACTATGCCCCAGAATAGTATGTGAAATGAGTAAATGCAAAATCCCTGATCAAATGGATTTCAATTAGATGTGTATATAACATAAGAACATAAGAACAAAATAAACTAAAATAAAACGAGAGGAGGCCATTCGGCCCATCAAGCTCATTTGGGGAGAATTTAACTAATAGGCTTTAGGCGGTCAGAGTTGCTAAATTTCCACCTATGACCACGAGTTCTAGTAAACTCTAGTAAATTTTTTCTAGTAAGAAAAATCCATGTCGAATGAGAAATCTAGTCCAAATGTCTATAACATGGCTGCATGGATTCAAAACCCTCAATCCAAAATGGAAACTGGCCAAAAACCAATAAAGCCATCACAAATGGATACATCCGTGTGGCGGCCCTCAGGACTGCCCCCCCCGCCTAAAGCCGCCAGCAGGGTTACAAAGGTCCATCAGTTATGGCAGGGGGGGGGGGGGGACTTGTTTGCCACTGACTGCCATCTTGCTGTTTGTGTTAAAAAACCTAAAAATAAAAAGCACCGCATATAGAATCTTGCCTTTAAAAGGGTCATCAATGGTAAACCATTTGCAAAAAGACGAATTCAGCTGTTAAAAAGCTCCATCAACAAGGGGTCAGAGGATGCAGCCGCCTGTCCGATTGGACACACAGCTGACTGCATCCTGCTGGATAAAGGAAGGGATTTTAGGTCCCGGCTCCTGATTGGACAGGCGATGTCTCAGCCAGACGGTCCCCGGAGGATCTGATCTGTGCTCAAGAAAGGGGGGCCGTTCTGCCGGACGCAGCCAATACGGGACCCCTGGGCTGGCAGCCAGATCCGAGCATCACCGATCCCCCACAGGGAGTGCCAGAGCGCATGGTTTTCACATTGGGAGCGGCGCATAATTACAGCGCGGCTGACGTTCGTCAAGCTAAGAGCTTAAGCCTTCCTGCGCTGGCAGGAAACGCGGCACATCTGTGGAGGCCGCTGTCTCCATGACGGAGACTGGAAAAGCCCTGTGCATCGATCACTGAAAAAGAAATGCGAGCGTCTGACACGTACAGTACGGAAAATAATCGCTGTCTGCCTCTAAAAATATGAAGGAAAAACACAACAGATTTCCAAGCTTGGGAGCCGCGGGATAATTAGGACACAGACATAACCGAGGAGGGAGCGGAGTCACGGGGACCAGAACGGTGCGAGTCGTCCCGCCGGGGTCTGGCCTGCCGTGTGCGCTCACGGGGCACCCTGGCTGGTTCCGTCTCTCACTGGCCTGATGTACTTCCTCTGAGCACTATACTGCACCCCGGCGGACAGAGTGCTAAACAGGGATTTGTTTTCAACACTGGAGCTGTGCCAACAGTCATAAAGAGCGCAGTGTTTTTCGGCAGCGCGGTCTTCGTTGGTGCCCCCCCCCCCCGCAGGGGATACATTCCTTCAGCGGCCGTGTCACCCCGCCGTGCCCCACGCCTTCCCAGTAGGGTTTTCACCGTGATACGCCCTCCCCCAACAACACAAACAAACCTCGCAAAGGATGATGGGACCCAACAGTAACGCGGCTGAACATGTCACTTAACATGACGTCACCCGTATTTGGGACCCATCCAGCCCCCATCCCCTGCTCTGGAGGCGCAGCACTCGTTCTCACCTCCGGGTGGCAGTCTCCTGGCTGGCCGGCTCCTCTTCCGGCTGGGGTCCCCCTGCTGGCTTCCTCCCCACGGCCGAGTTGTCCTGGAGCACAAAAGCAGCAGTTAGTGCCCCTATCCTAGTGGGGAGCAGTATGCCACCACGTCTACAGCGTGCCCATGGCTCCCAGTCACCTGCCTGCTTTCTCTTTGTTCCTGGGTGTGTCTCTATGTACACATCTGGATTAATGTTTGACTGCCCTTTCATGCCACAATCACTGGTCTATCCTGCTCCTCTAAACAGGTACAGAGTGCTCTCACTGACTATTCTGTTCGTACTTCCTGCAGGATTTCCTTTACATTACAATGTGCCTCTTTAATATGAACTTATTTACTTTTAAATTTACTGATACACAGGCAAGAATTTAGGGGGACTTAATAATTGCGATATGGGAGAGGATTAATCTAGGACAGTGGTTCTCAGACTTTTTGGACCAAGTACCAATTCGGATCAATCCAAGGCAGCTAAGTAACATACGGGTAAGAAAACAAATCACAGTAACAAATGACCACTGTTTTCTCATACCACCTGGGGGCACATACCACAGTTTGAGAACTACTGATCCAGGGTACTGGTATAAAGAGCCAAAGATTGGCACCCACCTGCCCGTAGAAGTCCGCTGAAGGTGACGAGCGTGACCTCTCGTGGACGTAGGACCCCATGCTACGCTCCTCCAGGCCCGAGTCCAGGATGTTTTCGGCTGAGCGGTACCTCCCAGCCACCCTGGCCTCTGTCGGCTTCCTCTGCACATTCCAGGTGGCCTCATACTCTGCAAAAGTGCCCAGCCGCTGCTTCTCCAGCACGGCCTGGCTGTCAGCGTGGCGGCTGCCGTGGGTCTCGTCTGGGCGGCTGGCGGCAGTCTGGCTCTCAGCTCGCTCATCCGTGGCGCCGGGGGGCTGGGTTTTGTTGGTTCCAGGTCGGGGAGCTGCAGATCCGCCCATGGCCTCGAAGACCCTGCGGCGGTCCTCGAAAGACTCAGGTGGCTCCTGGGGCGGGACATCCTCCTCCACACCCACCTCGTTGATCTTATCCGGCTCGGAGAAGGACCGCACTTTCTTCTCTGCAGGAAAGCGTTTGCGGCCGCCAATCCGGGACACCGGGCCCGAGGCAGCCCTGCTCTGGACGGGCTCCGGGCCACTGTCTCTGCGAGCTGGACCGGGTACCACGTGTTCAGGAACGGGCTCAGGACCGGCGTGCTCTGGCAGAACCGGTTCCAGGTCCCTCCTCCTGAATGACGTAGCCTGCAGAACCCTGGCCTGCGCCTCCTTCAGGTTGTCCTTGTAGGTGCTGGTGAAGGAACCGTCACAGGGGACGGCCTTGGCGCATGGTGCCCCCCAGGGCTGTGTGTCCCCTGGGGCCTCGCTGGCGGCGCTCAGGGCGGCCGCACTCTTGCTCTTCTGCAGCTGTGCCCTCTTCAGCTGGATCTCATTGCGCAGGGTGGTGGCATAGCGGTCGTTACACTTGGCCTGCTTCCCCAGCACCGGATCTGGGGCTTCTGGCCCCGTGTTCTCCTGGCAGTGCAGAATGGGGGTGCGCTGGGGGTGGGTGGGTGCATCTTCGGGGGGAGGCCAGGCCTCTGGCTGACACTCCTGCTGCTTCCTCTCCTCGCTGTAGCTGCTGGGGGAGCACGCCAAGTAGTGACCCTCCGCCGTGTAGCCGTTACTCCTCCTCTGGCCACCCTTGTCCTCCTCCGGCCTGTAGTCCCAGCTGCCATCCTGCACCTCCGGGTTTTCCTGCTGCTGAGTCCTCACCCTGCCTGCCTTCTGGGAGCTCACGGATCCTCGGTCGCCCGCCACACTTTGGGCCACATCTCCAGCCATCCAGCCCTCCGCCCTCCCCAGCGATGGCTGCGGCGCCCCCTGTCGGGCTGTCACGCAGTAGAATCGGCTGTGACCCCCACCCTCAGGGAGCCGGTCAGTGGCCATGCCAGGCACCCCAGCCTGGGCCGGTCCACTGAACGACAGCTCCTGCATGCTGCTGTAATAGCCGGCCGGGCTCTGCTGCCACTGTGCGGACGGGGTCCTGGTCTGAGGATAGAGGGGGCTCTCATCGCTGTACTGCCGTGGGTGGTAGGGTGTGTGGGGGTACACCTGCTGGCCCAGACGCACGTCACTGCTGGATAAGGAGTACAGTTTGTTGGAAGTCACTGGACTTCCGCTGTTGCCGTAGACATCTGGGGTGGCGTGGGAGTAGAAAGTGTCGGGCTTGAGGGGGTTGTAACTTTTCTGCACCTCGGACCCTCTCTCGTGTGGTCGGGGGACCCTGTGGGTGCCATCGTGGCCCTCACCCATGCCCCTGTCCACAGCTCTCCCGGGCGCCCTCTGCTGGCTGGGGTGTGCAGGTGCTTCGGAATAGGGGACAGCCAGCCCTTTCTCATGGACCTTGGTGGCGGCGAAACTGTCGCTACGCACGGGGGGCAGCGGTGGGGGCGGGGAGGGGGCAGCGGCCTTCTTCTTTTCAGGCACGTGCCACACGGGCGCGATGCTGGACCTGCTGGAACTGGAGTTGCGAGAGCCGGGTGGCTCGTCAGCCCTGGGGCCCTCGTGGCCCTCCGGCCCCAGGGGCACGGCTAGGTGGAACGGGCGCTCGTCCGGGTGGCCCCCCTCCACCAGGCCATAGCTGTTCCGGCCGACGCGCCCCCCTGAGTCCCACTGGCCCACCTTGTGCAGCGCGTTCTCCGTGCTGCGGGACAGCGTGTAGTCTGGCGTGCCAGAGCCGGTAGAGTATGAGCTGTAGGCAGAGTCCCGCTTGGAGCCGCCGCCGCTCGTGCCAAGGTGGTCGACGCTGCCGCTGGACTTGGCCAGGGACAGGTGTCCCGACGGGAACGGGTGTGAGGACTGCTCGAGGCTGTCCATGCTGCCTAGAGAGCTAAACTGGTCCGACACACGACGCAGGTTCGTCTGGTCCCAGCATGGGGAGAGCTCCTGTGGACTGGGGGTTAGGAAAAGGACGGTCATGTGACTGAGCTACGCATGATAAGCAGCTAATGCTAACTTGCTAACGCTATGTCGCTAATGCTAAGTTCCTAACATGAAATCACTAACTTAAGGCTTCTTCCCTAGTGACAAATGCAACACTACCACAGTAAACAGCAAATCCTTCCCCTGTGAACCCTGCCACAGATACACTACATTTTTTTTATTTGGAGGAATAAGATTTTTAACTTTATTGATCCCCAGGGTGAAATTCTGTCGGCGCTGTTATCCGAAACAACATAAGCAGGGTCAGCCGGTCCCCGGAGCAGTGGAGGGTTCGGGGCCTCACTCAGGGGGCCAACCCTGCTATTCCAACTTGCGGCCTTCCCATCACAGACACAGCGCCCCCAACCCATACCTGGTGCTGTGCCTCGCGTGCCAAGCCGGCGTGGGTGTCGGCTGTACCGTGACCACTTCTGGTTGGGCCTCTGTGAACTTGCTGGAGTGCCAGGAATGAGGCCGGCCTGCAGGGTCGCTCCTCCTGTGGGGGGTGGGTACATGAGGGGCCGCGGATGAGAGACTGTGGGGTCACAGTGATTTGTCACGCGCATGGCGAGCTCTTCAGCAGAGCCGTCGTACAGCAGTCACGTGACAGGGTCAAAGGTCAGGCAGTGACAGTGATGAAGGCCAGACCAAGTGACTCACATGCATGCAGAACGCAGCAGTGGAAATGAGACCTACCCCTTAAGCTGGTTCCTTCTGTAGACAGGGTTCCTAAGGGGAGATGGGGGTCGCCCCCCCGCCCCCCCCTCAGAAGATGCCTACCTGGACAATCGCCCATCTCGCCCTCACCAGAATCCACCACTTCGTGACACCAGATGACAATGCTTCTGCCGTCATGTGGATGACAACTCATGTGGAGCAACTTCACACATACTTTGCATTTTGCTTTACATTCACATCTGGGATCTTCAGCCAAACAGTTACAATACTTGGGACTGGCAATTCAAGCAGGTGAACGCTTCCATTTCTCCATTGTTAGCATTGTAAAGTGGAAGGAACCCACGTCTATATTTCCTGCAGGAGATTAATCAATCATGCACCCCACAGACACCCACAGTCCTTGGGTTGAGATGCTGCTCTTCAGTGGTCACCCTGTGACAACCAGCTCACACTGGTGATTTCTTCAAAAAATTTAAGTAAACTCAGATACTTTTACAGAATACCTAATTGGCCAATATATTGCAATAGTCAGGAAATACTAAAATACTTCTATACTCTTTCCTTTTTCCATACTTTTCCATGCTGAGTAGGAACCGTGCGTAGAGCGTTTGAGTAGGAAAACACACACTGGTCCCGAATATGGCACTGGAGGTGCCTCCCTACCGTTACGCTGTTCACTCCCTTGCAACAGTCTTCCAACAGTCTTTATTCACACTTATCCATGCACACTGATGTACAGCTTCAGCATGTGTCTCGAATGCAGTGCTGCAGACCTGCCGGTTACTCAGTAACGAGCACCCTAAGCATCTCGACCAGCTTCACCTTGTGCGGTTCACGCTTCACTCATGTCTCCCCCACATTTAATAAAATGTTCACACACATTTGTCTGTAGACGTGAAACGGTGTGGCGGGCGGCGTGATCAGGCGTGAAGGACAGACAACAGATACGTGCACTTGGCTATTCTACCAGGATGGTGGAAGGAACAGCCGAAAGCTCGCAGATGGCAGGGGGTGACATCGGCAGACCATGGAGGGACAGGCCCACGCCGGCACGGGGGTGAGGGGGACGATGGATGGGGGTATGGATTACCGGGGAAGGGGCTCACAGCTACTACGGGTACTGTACCTCATGGAACTTCGCAAAATCTTCGTGAGAAAGCTTCTGGCCATGTGCACGTCACTTTCGGATGGCATTTTCTGTGCTACAATGTCCATCATTTTCACCTTCCTGGGTAGCAAGGAGGAGGAATGAGCACACACCCCCACAGACACTGAAGGTCATTACCCTCTACTCCTTCCCCAGGCCTGCAGCGAGACCCTCAGGTTGGAGTCACAGTTGGACACATTTGCAACATCTACTAGATCACTACACAGAGAGTCACACACAGCAAAATATAATTTGTCAGGTCTTATCTACTTAAATCATTCCCGCCACAACTCCACCGTAAACCCGACAAAAATGGCTCCGCGCCCACGAATCAGAGCCAACGCCCTCATGTGTGCAGACAAGAGACCCAAGCGACAAAACAAAGTCCCGTCACTTTAGTGATAAGCACCATTATATTCTCGAAAACACTTTATGAGTATCGTAAAGCAGGTTAGAGAGGCGTGCTCGAAGTTTAACACGGAATGGAAGACGACACCAAGCACGCACACACATGCAGACCTGCTAACGAAGCACTTATCATTCACCCATTTGGTCAACAGAGTTTGTCCTCCTACTTGGGAGTGCAAGCTGTGATAAGTGTTTTCAGGGGTTGAAAAAGTGCTGCACCAGTGCCCTCTACTGGCCAAACAAAAACATCCTGCTCCAGCATAGTAAACCTGTTTATATACACAGTAACAAAACAAAGGCTATTAAATCATACTGAGGACCAGCTGGAGAATTATTATGACTTATATTAAAATAATTATGACATCATTATGAAGAAGCCTTCCATTCAAAATACCAATCAGCAGAGGCGATACTTGATATTTTAAATGAAGAGACCATGGTTAATTAAATTCTGCCCCGGAGGTCAGACAGTGAGAGGTATGTGGACATTTTTTTTTTGGGGGGGAGGGGAGTGGGGATGGGGGGTATCGCATTCCTTTCCATGAGACTCCAGGTCTGACCTGTTAATCCTTCTGTGCGCTGTCTCCCCACAGCTGACCCACAAACAGACAGACCTCTTTGGTGTTCAACCACAAGTCAATGTGTCCCTTAACATTTTGTTTTTTGGCATCACAGGGACTCAGGTAGGGTGTGGGAGCCATCTGCCTGTTTGCGAAGGGTGTGGTTAAACCCCCGGGAATCTAAGGAGATGGCAGGACACACCCCAACATGCCCTCTCCGACAGGGTCAGCACGCAGAGCCCAACACTGAGCCCAATTCACAATTAGGTTAATGAACCAGAAATTAACATGGAGAATTATCCTTCAAACGATCCATTCCTGCCAGCTGCCTGACATCCTTAATGTAGTAACAGGAGGGAGACAGACTTTTTAATCTAAACTACATTCAGCAGCTGGTACTCTTGAAGGGATTATACAGCAATTACAGCTGCAATTCACACTGAGCACCCGGTCCAAAGGCAAAGAATGCTTAGAAATAATGAGGTAGGCATCCAAAAGGTTAATAAAGTAAATAAAACAGGAGACTGTTCCACATGAGCATCAATCGGCTGCACTGGTCTGCTTACACCATCTGCCCAAGCCCCATACAAATGCTAATGAGGGCGCCGTTTCCATGGCGGCGACAGAGCTATGCAGGACGCGGAGAAAGGACTGACGCATGGGACAACGGCAGCCAATCGGCACGAGCTAAAGGTGCCACAGGTGGCGGAGGGATCTACATCGGCCGCACAAAAACACACATATCAGCTAAGCGCTAGCATGGACATGGAACCACCAGTTTGCTGTAGAGCTCATTAATGAGAAACAGCTCCGCACTGAATAGCAAAGTGTCAACAATGGAAAAGAAACACAAAGAAACACAGCAGAGTGAACTATAAAACAGAACGAAAAAAAAATTCCGAAGAATTACCAGAGACCGCAGCCTACGGGAAACCAGAGAATAACGACCTCATTAGCAGTTCAAGCACAAAGTTAACAAGCCAAACCCAAAAAGCATGAAATATCACCCTGTCTTCTCCGACCTCCTCAGCCTCTGGGGTGCTGTGGTGCCATAGTCCGGGAACCGCAAGCGGAGTCAGAGCCGGCGCTCAGAGTGTCTGAGAGTGACTCCTGTGTATGGCAGGCGGGCCGGGGGGCGGTCACACGAGCGCTCATCGTCTCAAAGAGCCCCCCCCCCCCTCCGCACACCCGATTACGAGGGCATGACGCGCGTAAGCATGCGGACCCCCACAGAGACGACGCAGGGGGAACCTCGCAAGAGCCTGCATTCCACAGACACTTCAAAAGTGGGGGGAGGAGCCTCCCACCCCCGCACAAAAGGCCAGCGACCCGCCACTTCTCCACGATACCACCAGCACCGCGTGTGCACCATCAAGGACCCCCGCTGCCCTCGGGGTCAGGCAGTACGGTTTCCTGGGGGACCATGGGAGAGCATGCATGCATGTCGTGCTCGGAAAGGGCCATTGTCACTCGTATCCCCTTTGAATTAATCCTGCTGCTTCCCTCTGATTGGCTGATGCCTGCTGACCAATAAGCAGCCTTTGCTCCCTGTGTCCATCTTGCAACCATGCCAACTGACTGCTTTTATCAGTTGGGCTTGAGTTGTCTCAGCCCCGCCTCTGCCCCCCCCCACTCCACAACCACATCAGGAGCACCCCCAGATGAAGGATTGCTCTCTTTGGCCCATTCTTGCCCCTGTACCCCAGGCAGAAACACACTATGATATAGAAGCAATGTGATCCTGCTCTGATTTACGTCTAAATGTACGAGTTCACATGCCAAACAAAATACTGATCAGGAGAATGCAGGGACGGGTCCAGATTAGTCAACAAGGGACGTCACCAGCCCCTGCTTGACACCAGCACCACCCCCAGGACCTGCTCTCCTAACCAGCAGCAGGCCAGATCGCTGCTCCACCTACAGAGATGTCACTAAAGAGCGTCTGGCAGCAGAACCAGCTGTCTGCTGGTCAAGAAGCGTTTAGGCCCGAAGCTAAGGGGGGGGGGGTTTGCAGAGCGATTCCTCACAATGATCTATTGTGGGCTGGATCTTCATCTGCAGATTCCAGGCATGACTCACCTCCAGGAACCTGACTGCTAATTAAGCCTGAGTCTTTCGAGGAAAATATAGGAGGTATGCATGCCAACCTGAGGAGGGACACACGGCCTCCCCTGGCACACAAAGGGGGTGACGGACGCGTCGGCCGTGCTGCAACCTCATTGACTAGTCCGACAGCTCCAGATAAAGTGAGGCTCATCCCCAACCCTGAACATAAACACAATGGTGACTCAACATGTACGCATCACACACAATCTTACTATCTACACACTGACCACATGTCCAGGGCGTTGATAGGAACATCATCTGAAGGTCTCAGGGGCCTTCAAAATGTTCGTTGACATTCTTTCTGCACCTCAATGCACCCAGCCAGGCTCTGGTCTGCTCTGGGAGCAGCCCTGCCGGTCCCTGGGATCTCAGCTTACTTTGTTGGTTAGTTTGTCCCGGATGATGCAACAGGTGCCATGGCAACGCAGGATGATGGCAGTGGAAGCGGGAAATGCGGAAAGTTCCCCCTGCAAGGCAAACCCACAGCTGGATCCAGGGCGTGACGGCCGTCACCTGAAAGCTATGGTGTCACGTGTGATTAACAGATATGGCCGAGACAGCAAACGACAGCCAGCTGAGCATGACAGAGATCGGCTCAGACCCCGACAATGAAAGACGGCAGACAGCTTCAGGGCACAAAGCAACAGCACAGGCCTGTTCCACCCCAACAACCACCAACAGTCAGGAAATACATGCAGTATACTGAAGGGGAAAGGAGACATCTACTGCAAAACTGGAAAAGCTACATAAAAAGCTCAGTATGTGACTGAACATGATGCCATTTCTGTGTCACCTTATGTCTTCATTCTGCATGAACTGGTGACACACCAAAGAACCCCTGTCACCAGTGGGGGGGGCAGGCTTGCAGGAGCATGATCCAAACTGGGGGGGGGGGGGGGGGGGCGTCAGGTGCAGAGCTGTGCTTTTTACTGGCCGAGTTTCCCCCAGCCCGTGTAACCACCCGAATCGCCCCCCCCCCCCCCCCCCCCCCCCCCCCCCCCCC